CCTATTGGTCCCAAGCAAACGATTAACGTAGCCTATTCTAGTTGAAATTCTATTACTACACTATGTTTGTTTTGATTCGCTATGAAAGTTTGACAGATAAAATGAGGGGCTCGTGGATTTTCCCGAGGGGGACGACTCTATCTACGATGCAGAAAAGATTGTGGTTTGCTGTTGGTAGCTGCGCGTACGCTGAGTAGATAGAAAGAAGATTTTCACGATTTTGAAGATTTCCTGCAAAAAGATGATGCGCGATGCAAGAGCATCTAAATTTGAGATTTAGATGTGTCGCCCCCCTCGGATTTTCCTATGTTTCGAGGGGTGCATTGATTAGCTTGGGACCGAAGAGAGTACCAGAGCTGAGCCAAAAAGTTGAGCACATTTCTTCGGGACCTACTAGCCAGTAGGCAGTAAAACCAACAATCAATACGAAACTAACGATTTTAAATTGGCTCACCACTTTAGTAGCCTATTGGTCCCAAGCAAACGATTAACGTACCCTATTCTAGTTGAAATTCTATTACTACACTATGCTTGTTTTGATTCGCTATGAAAGTTTGACAGATAACATCAGGGGTGTGTGGATTCATGCAGAACATGCAGGGGTGAGTGAAATAGCTTGGGACTGCTTGGGACCGTTGTTCTGGTACTGAGTGAGCCAAAAATAATAATGATTTTCTTCGGGACCCAGTGGTCTTAGAGTTACCTCTATGGTAAAACCACCGGATGGAAACTAACGATTTAAAATTGGCTCACTACTTGACTAGCCTATTGGTCCCAAGCAAATCGATTAACGTACCCCATTCTAGTCGAAATTCTAGTACTACACTATGTTTGTTTTAATTCGCTATGAAAGTTTGACAGATAAAATGAGGGGCTCGTGGATTTTCCCGAGGGGGACGACTCTATCTACGATGCAGAAAAGATTGTGGCTTGCTGTTGGTAACTGCGCGTACGCTGAGTAGATAGAAAGAAGATTTTTCACGATTTTGAAGATTTCCTGCAAAAAGATGATGCGCGATGCAAGAGCATCTAAATTTGAGATTTAGATGTGTCGCCCCCCTCGGATTTTCCTATGTTTCGAGGGGTGCATCGATTAGCTTGGGACTGAAGAGAGTACCAGAGCTGAGCCAAAAAGTTGAGCACATTTCTTCGGGACCTACTAGTCAGTAGGTAGTAAAACCATAGAGGTAGCTCCATAGAGGTAACTCTAAGACCACTGGGTCCCGAAGAAAAACATTATTATTTTTGGCTCACTCAGTACCAGAACAACGGTCCCAAGCAGTCCCAAGCTATTTCACTCACCCCTGCATGTTCTGCATGAATCCACACACCCCTGATGTTATCTGTCAAACTTTCATAGCGAATCAAAACAAACATAGTGTAGTAATAGAATTTCAACTAGAATAGGGTACGTTAATCGTTTGCTTGGGACCAATAGGCTACTAAAGTGGTGAGCCAATTTAAAATCGTTAGTTTCGTATTGATTGTTGGTAGCTCTAAGACCAGAAGGTCCCGAAGAAAAGTGCTCAACTTTTTGGCTCAGCTCTGGTACTATCTTCGGTCCCAAGCTAATCGATGCACCCCTCGAAACATAGGAAAATCCACGAGCCCCTCATTTGATTTGTCAAACTTTCATAGTGAATCAAAACAAACATAGTGTAGTACTAGAATTTCGACTAGAATGGGGTACGTTTATCTATTTCGACAATCTCGGCATTTTTTTTTCATATCAACCTATCACAACTGGTGCTTTGTGGAATGTGGATACAGCGAAGTTGATCATTAGCGGTTGGTTTTGGTCTGCCTTGTTCAGGGCTGATCTTTTTCAAATCTTTTTACCCGTTACTATGGTTTGTTTACTCCAAAGGAAAATATCCATCATTAAATTTTGACCTTTCTGATGTTTATAACACGCACACTTGCGTTATCCCATTTTCAAGTGCAAAGTTTGTTATTCTCACAGCAGCAAAAAAAAAAATCGGTTTGTTGTTGTTATCCTCACTTTTGGACCATCAATACTCCCTCGTTTAGGTGTACTTTAATAATCATAGAATCCATAAATGAACCTTAAATAGATAGAGATTCTATCAACCCGGCTCATTGAACGCTCTCAAATGAAGTTGACGTCAGGGATCACTTAATTTCATCTTGTAGAATTTTATAGACAATTACACCGGAATTAAGACGAGATTATAAAAGGAATTCTTTAAAAATTCTAGGCAATTTCAGGGGAGAGTTCCTAATGAAGCATGAGTTTATGGATTTTTTTTAGGACACTCCGAAGGTAATTATGTGAAAAGGTCTAGGTGCATTCAAAGGATATTTCTGAACATAATTTCCAAACGAATCTATGGACAAATCCACGGGGATTGTGATGAAATTGGTGAAGAAAATATCAAGAGATTTCCGAAGACAATTAAAGACATTTTATGGACATTTTCAATTGAATTCTGAGGAGAGTCCCTAGAGAATTCTGGCAAGAATATTTCTATGGACATTTTGTGAATTCCAAGAAAAACGTCTTTTAAGGATGGGATCAGAAGAATTCTGAGGAAATTCTCAAGAAATTCGAGTTCCGAGGGCATTTCCAAGACATTTAAAGTAATTGCAAGATAATAGACTTCTGATGACAGTTTCAAAAGAACATGGAGGAGAATTCCTAGGGAACACCGAGGACAGTTTCAAAGGAATTCAAAGGATTTCCGAGTACAATAGCAATTTATTTTGCTAAGATTCAGTAAAACAATTGCCGAGACTCAGCTAACAAATAAGATTTTGCTGAGATATCAGACACCAAATAGATATTTTGCAGAGTAAATGCCGAGGTAATCGGCTGTTGGAGATTTTACCGAGCTAGATCAAGTGTGTAGGCCGACATTGGGGTCAAGAAGTAGTGTTAGATTTTTTAACAATATCTCAACAATTTGTTACTCTTTATCAAATCTTGCGGTACGTATGGAAAGGTAAATTGATTTAAAAGTCATCTGCAGTAAAAACCTTCATTTTGTGAAAAAAAATCCACTCGAAAAATAAAGGCAAAGGGCGGGTTGTGCTTAGTAGGCCCAAAATTATATCTAAGCCCTATGTATAATCAGCAGAATCGGAGTCGAACCAGCCTCAGGCTGAAAACCTCCCTAATAAAGAAAACTTAACTTTACTTAATCAGCAGAATCGTGGGGATCATACTAAGCAAAACACTTAGGTTAATATCAATAGAATTCTGATCGACATTCATGGTTGACATTTTGATAAATATAAATAATGTAATAAGCCCATTAAGATTGGAAATGAGCTTTTCTAAATGAGTGCATCAATTACTAAAGGGCGAACACGAAATTATTGCGACACATTCAACAGGGCATAACTTTTTTACCATTGGGTAAAAATCAACCAAATTTTGCACACTTTCTCATTGATGTGTATTGTGTACATGCTGTCAAACCCGAAGTCGTGTTTTTCGATTCAACGAAAATGGAGGTGAACCAACGCGAGTTGAGAGAACAAATTCTTTCCAAACCCCTGGAATTTCCTGACCTGTCGCACCGGCAGTTGGGAAAAATGTTGAACATTCACCATTCAACCGTCTCCAGAGTGTTGAAGCGGTTCCAGGAGCGGTTGACGTTGGACCACGGCAAAAGAGTTGGAAGAAAACCGGGACCGGAGAACAAAAAGACGGAGGGAAAGGTGAAGCGGATGATTAAAACAAATCCCAACGTCTCAAGCCAAAAGATCGGCATGTCGCAGAGCTACGTCCAGAATGCAAAGAAGAGAGCTGGACTACATACATACAAGGTACAGAACTTCCCAAACCGCGATGAGCGGCAACAATCGACGGCTAAAACACGGGCACGGAAGCTCTACGAGAAGATGCTGACAAAATATGGCTGCTGTGTGATGGACGACGAAACGTATATAAAAGCCGATTTTAAGCAAATCCCGGGGTTGGAGTTTTTCACCGGCAAGAGCAAGTTCGATGTGGACGACAAATTTAAGAAGAAGAAAATGTCGAAGTTCGCCTCCAAATATCTCATTTGGCAGGCCATCTGCTCTTGCGGACTGAGGAGTGAGCCTTTCGTGACAAAGGGCACAGTAAATGGCGAGATCTACCAATCTGAGTGCCTCGAGAAGCGCCTTTTGCCGTTCTTGCAGCAGCACGACGAAGCTCCGCTATTTTGGCCAGATTTGGCATCATGCCACTATTCTAAAAGTGTCCTGGAGTGGTATGAGGCCAATTCTGTCCATTTTGTTCCAAAGGACATGAATCCGCCAAACTGTCCGGAGCTGCGCCCGGTGGAGCAGTACTGGGCAATAATGAAGCGGGAACTTCGGAAGAGCAAGAAGACAGTCAAAGACGAGAAGGACATGTTAAGAAAATGGGAAAAAAAACTGAGAAACTGGTACCGGATGACACTGTAAAGACTTTGATGGAGGGCATCAAGCGAAAATGCGTTCAATTTTACACTCAAGGCTTCATCGATTAACTTTTCTATTGATTTTTGAATGTATAAAACTACCCTAAAATTTTGGTTTGATTCTAAACATTATAAGAAAATTGGCATGACATTTTCGGTGTCGCAATAATTTCGTGTTCGCCTTTTAACAGCATCTCCCTGCTACATAAACATTTTCTTAATTTTCTACCACCAATCAAGTCATTGTCCCTATAATTCCTGTAAGAATATTTGAAAGCTTCTAAAAGCTCAGTCTGTTTCCATCCAGGTGGAAGCACTTTTCGTTGCAGTTCCAAAAACTGACCGATAGAGGCGCCTAAAAAGCATCATTCCAGTATGGACCATTCTATCACACAGCATCACATCGATTATGCTCTACCTCCTGCGAGAGGGATAGTGAAAGAGAGAACCATACCATCTGCATGGGAAACAATCAGATGGTTTCAAAAATAAAATTGTAAGGTTCGTCCTTTCTGCACATCGAGTTGAGCTCAATACGAACAAGCGCACATGTGTCCAAATAAAAGAGAGAGAGAGAGCGGTACGTACCTTTCAGCGTTGGCGTTTGATTAAATCCCACTCGTCAACTCGTTGTCCCTCTACGACTTCAACAACGCACAACAGATCAAGTGTGATGAAGAGAGAATTTCCATAGAAATCAATTTTCCAGCGTCATCTCCCCACACCGGTGCTCCTCACGATCGATGACGGTGTCTCTTGGGGGGTGGTTCGGGTCTGGGGGGTGGCACTCCTACCTGTGTCGAGAGTAGAAAGGGAACTGAAATCACTCAACAATTCTGGGGAAGGTCTCTCCGGCCGCAAAGCACTCGAAAACTTTTCAAACAACCACCGACGTACCAATGTTTGTACTTTTCCAGGAATGACAGCCTCAAATTTCCCCCGACGACGACGACGAATTACTTTGTTCTGCTCTTAACCGTAGCGGGTTAAGCAGAAAAGTTTCCCGATTCGCGTTAAAAAACAACAACCTCTATCGACGACGACGGTGATTCTGCGGTTTGCGCTCGAACCCCGGTAATTGTCGTTGGTCTCGTAATTTCACTCCGATTCCCGATGATGGCGTTGTTGTCAGTCTCTTACCAGGATCTGCTTGTATTATTTTTTTTTGTTATTTGTTCATTCGTTTGTTCGAGGGTATTTAAACACGACGAAAGCTCCTGGGAGAGTTCACACAAACAAAAGCATACACACACACATGTAGACTCTCAAACAGTAATGAGGGTTGTTTACCTTTGTCTGAAGTTTTGTTTGGTTTTCGTTCGCGCTTTTCCGAATCACCGCGAATGGTTGTTTGCTCCTAGTGGGTTGGGGCTCTGGAGGAGAATGCTGCAATTAATTAGTTTGCTATTTGTTTTAATTAATTAATCCTTGATCAAATACCTCAGCATAAATTTGCAATGTTGAGCAGCACAATCGCACGCTCACACACCTCCGCTGTTGCGCTGTAATACACGTGTCCCTGATGTCGTTGTCGTCGGGAGAGACTTAATCACTGAGGTAACGGTGAATCCCCGGGACCACCGAGAGCCGCATCTAATATTTATAAAGAACGATAACAACGGCAACTGAATTGAATAAAAACTAGCAGCATCGCATCCTGCATGTACCTAACTAGAAGAGTATCGACGAGAGGGAGCCGAGATTTTTAGGGGCCATCCTTTTTGGTCGTCCTTTCGTTCGCTATGGGTTGAGTTGTGAGTGTGTGCTGTTTGTCGAGTTTTGCTTGCGGTCTGTGTAGTGTTTGTGACTAGGGCGAGTAAAGAACGCGTGGCGTGGATGCATTGAAGTTGTAGTTGTCGAATTTATTATGTGGAATCTGAACAGTTGGCTGATGATGCCATGGGTTATGGTTTTAAAGGGAAAACTACTCACGGGGGAATCGACGTGGTTGGGAGGATTGAGTTGCTACAGGAAGCTGAGTTGGGAAAAGCGATACCATTGCATTACTGTTCGATTGTAAGAGTAGCATGCTGCAGTAAGAGTATGATTGTTGCCATGGCATATGAGAGGTTTTATTTTTCACCCTTTATTTGGTCGCGTATTGAAATGACTTATCATTGCAATATTAAAACAGCGATGATTACCTTGAAACAAATCAAGAGTACCGTCAGATGGGTGACATTGGGACAAAATTGAAAAATGTTTTTGACGCATATACGGTACAGGACCAAATAAATAATACACTGACACTAAAAATGCAGTTTAGATGATATTTTTGTTATTTTTCAAATAATTGCAATGGTATATTCGGAAAAGTTCAAGTGTTTTCCTTGGTGTATCCAGTTATTAAGAAGAAAATGAAGAAAACAAAATCTACTTCAGTTGATTTTGATTCTTGCACAAATTAAATCATACACGTCAAATATCACATTTCATGACAATGACAATGAGAGCATCTGTGGAAATCTGGCATCAATGCATCACCTTTGACAGTTCTCACGAGGAGTTTGTGCCTGGGGGGGCGGGGATGTGCTGTCAAATCAGCCTACTGATCATCTTGTATGAAACTGGTTCCAAACGTAAACAAACGCTGTAGATTTCTTATGGCTTGTTTACTTTTGGAACCAGTTATGCGAGGTAGGCGACGATTGTTCGTATTTGACAGCCACCTCCCCCCCTTGGTTTGTGCATCTTACCATTGTTTTTTGTATACGTCATTTGAAAAGTCGAAACAGGTTTCGCTCGATGTAAGAAATTTGGTGATTCGCGATCGTGAAAAGGGAATTCCTTCTTTCCTTTATTTAACGTTCCGCATTCTAGTGCCAATCACCGCCGAACATCGATTGCCATCCATTGACGGCAATCGAATATGTAGAAAGGCAGCTTCAACACCTGCGTAGGATATCGGACACATTCAACACACATGGGCCGGGACCTAGGCGAGTAAGAGAGGTGACACAGTCGGAAGAAGTGTTAGTTTGTTTACTAAAATGAACCATGCCCATTTTGTTATGGCAAGTTTGCTATAAGAAATGCTCCTCGTGTTTATTAGCGAAATTCACATCAAAGATTGATTAATTGCGTAGGAAATCAGTTTGGCACGGCATTTGTGACCAGCATACACCTTCCAGTCGTATGAAACAGGTCAAAAACTGTCCAAATCCGCAGATAAATTTTTTTGTTTTGAATTTCTGTATGGCAAAATAGTGAACTTTTCCTCAATATTAACGGCAAAGAACTCACCAACACTGGGAGACCGTGAGTTCCTGCCCACCTGTCATTTTCCATCTCGGGCCGGGACCAGCGGCTTTACCATAAAGGTAACTCTAAGACCAGAAGGTCCCGAAAAAACGAGCTCAACTTTTGGCTCAGCTCTGGTACTATATTCGGTCCCCTACGCTTCGGTCAGAGAGCGTATAGGGCGTCGTTGTGCCAATTTCGTCGTGGCACATTTCGAGTATGAGAGAGTAATTGCAGTTAGATCAAAAGTGCCTGAGAAAAATGCAAATACTTTCGCAGATTACCCGAAGTTGCGATATTGAAGGTATGATCACAGACAAGCAGACATAACACTCTTAAAACCCTCATAGAAATCGTTTTTAACGGTCAATTTAAATGTTTCTTAGTTGGTAGTACCGCCACTTGTGGTGCACATAATCAATTCCCTAGCGTTTGACGTTTACATACTACAACCATCTGTTGAGTGTATTGTACATGGAAGTATATACGACAGATGGCGGTAGGGTTTACAATTATAAATGTTCAATGGGTTGTGTCTGATTGTCTGTGAAATAACCTGGAGGTAACGTTAGAATAAAATCAAAACATTGAGAAATATAACGCATCACTTTCAGAAACATTTCACTTCGCAACCGATGAACCATTCTGACGGCCATATGAGTACCCAAGTAACCATATAGTCGCAATATAGCTTGTATATTCTTACTTTGCTTGACTATGGTTAGTTGGGGAATCTGATGAAACTGTCACTTCTTGAAAATGATCCCTTTCGTATTTTTTTCATTCTCTTTTCGCACACGGAGCGCTCGGTGCAACAGCGACTTTGGACGTGAGCCTCGTCCCAGATCACCATGGCAATTCATTTCAATTCAATGAAACCGACCAAAAAAGGTGGAATCATATTAGAACCAACCAAGGACGATCTACGGAAGGAAATTGCCGGTGAAGCACGGAATGAAATACGAAGCGTTAGAGAAAAAGTCCAAGGGATTTCAAAAGAAGTAATCAACGATGGTGGAAAAGCAGAATATGGTGAGAGCTTTCCAATTATTAAAAAAAAATATAAATCAAAATTAAACTAAATACATGCCAGGTTTGAACAATTATATTTTCGAACCTGGAAGCGTGTATGTAATACCAATATCCATTTGATAACGGTGATGCATACATGCGGGGCTTATTGTAACCTCGGAATGGGCGTTACTCTCCAGACATTCTGAAATGGGTTGCTGGATCTGCAATAGAGCTATCACCTTCTAACTCCCGGACTAAAGCTGTCTAAAATGGCCATAAATGCGACATTGTAGAGAGAGTTCTTCCATAATTCACTCGAGGTTGCTCGAAAAGAGCCTCAGCTGAAATTGACGAACACCAAGTTGCATACTACGTGACACCTTTCGCACCAGATCAAACCGAAGTAGCTATTCGGGATCACATCTGTGATATTACCAACGTCGACCCCTCCATGGTGAAAGTAGTAAAGCTAATTCCCAGGGGTAAGGATCAGCGTGACCTAACATTTGTGTCCTTCAAAGCCACTGTACCAAGGAACGCTCAAACCGTCGTTGAGGATACATGGTACTGGCCAGAAGGAGTCGAAATCCGAATCCCTTGAAAAAAACTACTCGAGCTCGCGATCATCAGGAAACACTTGATTGACAAGCAACGTGTTATCGCTGCACACACCTGTACCAATACTTACAAGCTGCTCACATCGGACGTCGTCGTACTCAATGTTCCTGTCAATCCAGAACGCACTGCCTGTCACCTTATGGAAGCCCCTAAGCCTATCGACCCAGTCGCGCTTGCTGGTTCCTGTCATCTAAGCCGTTCTGGACCTGCGGTCGAAAATGGTGATGGGGGCTTCCAACCTCCTTTTTCAGGCAAGTATGTGTTCGATAGAATCATTCCTTTGCCTGATGACTTTTCGTGTTCCAGCACAGCATTTCGCCTCTCCGATTTCATCAAAGCTTATCATCACACGAATAAACTCTCCAAACCAGAATGCACGGCCTGTTGCCTAATGGAAGCCCCTGATCCACTCGACTCAGTCGCGCTTGCTGGTTGCTGCCATCGTAGACGTTCTCTGGCCCTGCAGTTGAGCTTGGTGACGGGGTCTTCCAACCTTCCACTTCAGAAGGATTGCAAGAACACTGCCTTCGCCTGACGATATTGGATGCAGACACGGCGAACCTAGTGAATGTTCTACTCCATGCATCGATGACATCTCTAATGGCCTATCACCGATACCAGAACGCACTGCCTATTGCGTTACGGAAGCCCTTAGCCCTCTTGACCCAGTCGTGCTTGCTGGTTCCAGTCGCCTCAGTCGTTCTGGCCCTGTGGTTGAGAGTGGTGACGGGGTCTTCCAACCTCCTGACACTGGCAAGTATGCGTTTAATAGAACTGTTCCATTGCCTGATGTGCCTGCATGTTCCAGCTCAGCAACTCGTCACTCTGATGATCTCCACCAAAACTTGCGAATCTACTACCAGAACGTGCGTGGACTAAGGACAAAAATTGACGACTTCTACCTGGCTGTTGGCGAAAAAGAATACGATGTCATTGTTTTGACGGAAACGTGGCTTGACGAGTGCATCTTTTCATCGCAGCTATTCGGGAATAATTTTTCTGTCTTTAGAACTGACCGCCAACCACTCAACAGTAAAAAAAATCGAGGAGGTGGAGTTCTCATAGCTGTTGCTACACATCTTAGTAGCTGTTTAGATTCATAAACCATTTGCAAATCACTAGAGCAAATTTGGGTGAGAATTGATATGAATGGTTGCATCATCAGCGTCGGAGTTATTTATATTCCACCCGATCGGAAAAACGATCTCAACGATATTCAACTGCACATAGACTCAATTGGTGCGGTCGCCGCTGGTCTAGGAGCTAACGACATGGCTCTTCAGTTTGGCGCTTACAATCATTCAGACGTATTTTGGATATCAAATGAAAACGGTTACTCTTCTGTGGACATGGATCGTTCCCGTCT